TGAGCATCAAGCAGAGATTGCCAATCGAGAAAACAAAATGGCTGGTTGGTTTCCATGACAACAACACCTTGCAGCAGACGCGTATTTGCCTTATTCATCAGCATCAGAATCGTCTCCTTTCTTTTGATTCTTTGCCTTACTCTTCAATGTGCGTTTACGAATCTTGTTCCTCTGTGCCTCCGTGATACTTTCGTGGCCAAAAACCGCTTGCTTCAACCCTTCGTACGTTGCATGATACTCTCGTTTCAACCCTCTCTTTTTCAATTCTTTCGACAAGATGTCGTTCGTTGCATCCGACCCAGTCCAAAAGTGAATTGTTGGAGCCTTCAGGAAGTCTCCACCTCCTTTTCCATTGGCATTGGGGGCCTGCTCAGTGTAAAAAAACAATCCAGGGACAACCTTAGGCCACCTCTTTTCGTTGGCAACACTCTCCGTGTCCGAACCATCAGGTTCCTTGTATGATGCCAACAAATGCTCAGGCCGAGACATAGTCTGAGCGGTAAAGAGAGGACCTTCACACCCATCAAGCTTTTCGCGGACACGGTTATCCATTTGCTGAGACCGTGATGTTGCAGGAGTGTTTGCAGCTCGCTTCCTATTGCCCCTGCCCGCACGAGATTCATTGCGGCTGCGTCCACCATCAGCTTTCTTTTTGTTTCCTCCACCAGTAGCTCCACGCTTCTTCTTGGTCTGGTAAGACTTGGCTTCGACGATTGATTCGTCAGAATCTTCATTTCCAAAGATCATTGTCCTTCTTTTCCTCTCTCTTTGCTGTTCTTCTTCATAGTTGTCGTCGTCGTCGTCACCACCATTGTCGCTGTCATCGTCGTAATCAGAGGACTGCTTGTTCTTGGCAGCCCTGGCAGCCATGGATCGTTTCAACGCCGCATTTTTCTTCTGCAGATTCGTTGAGCCAGCAGCTGCTTTCTTTGTTCCCTTCTTGGAGGGAGCCCGCTTGCGACCGGAAGGAACGGTAGCCACCTGGTGTTTCTGCTTGTCTGGTCGTCACGAGTCATCACCGTCCTTCCACGTTACTCTATTTTGTCGTAGAAGAGCGGTAAAATGGCAACACACTTGCTCGTCGTCCTCAGAGTCGTCCTCAGAGTCGTCCTCAGAGCCACCCTCATTACATCGCATCTCAACCTTGTCTTCAAGAAGACCTTTGAATGAATCAGTGCGATGCAAAACCACGGGATGTTCATTTGATCCAGCAAAGAAAACAATATGATGGAGGGATGGGTCCAAGCTCAGCTTCTTCATAGCGCTGTCAAAGAAGAGTTCGAACATTCTTGCAAATTCTGCCCGAGACTCCAACAGGTACACTCCTTGATGAACCTCTGGCGCATCCCCGGACTCATCATCCTCCCACCAGCAGTGAATGATAAATTTGGAACACGGACGTCCAACCGAACCTTCTGGGTAGACAACTCGTGCCACTTGGACATTGAGATTCAACCTTGGCTCAACTTCATCCTTTGGATCAAAAAGATTTTCCTCAATAAGATCGTTGACTGTGTCTTCGCCTGATAGCACTCTGGGCAGCTCTTGCGGTCCAAAAGAGAATGTGAACTGGGAGTTAGCAGCATTCAGCACACCAAATTTTTTGAACGTTTCCAGCTTGAAACGTTCAAATCCTCGCTCCAGCTTATGGTGAGGTAACATCATGAAGGACACATGCCAAACGTCAGGCACTTGTAGAGGCGCATCATGCCAACGAATGACGATATTGCATTTGCGATGGGGTAAAAGCAATTCGGGGTGGACAACAGAATCGTCATCACTTTCCTCGGGGGCATCCTGGCCTTCCTGCCCTGGTCCTGGTCCTTGCCCTTTTCTTCTTCCACGCTGTCGTGTTGCTCATCATTGTCTACAGATTCTGTATGGCCATTAGACTGGCCAACGTCCTTCTCGTGGGTGATAGATCCATCAGCTGCAAACGTGACGATTCCGCCATCAAAGAAAGGTTCTTCGCCCTGAAGCTGCGCCATCTCGACAGCTTCCGCAATGTTCTTCTGGCCACCAACAGCCGTGGCAATGACTCTGGTCAGTTCGGCACGGTTGTTCACAAAGCAAGCATCAGCTTTTTCGCAATAGATTGCCTCTTCTCGATGGGTCAAATAGTAGCTGGAAGGTTTCTGCCCGACTTGTGCTAACGAAGAGGTTTCGTTGTTGAGAATCTGATGAAGCAACGCTTCGGGATTCTTGGCGGTGCCTTTTTCCATCGTGATGCTGTCAAGTTTCCGAAGCAATAGCTTTGTCAAGTTTCGAATGCTCTGAGAAGTGAGCGAAAGGCAAAGCAGCAAGCTGTTGCAAGCAGCGTGACGGCTCCGTTTGTTAGCCTGCCTCCTTCAATCGCAGCGTGATGCCACCGTTAGCTCTCACTCAACGTGGAAAAAGTCACGATTCAGTCCTCTTGCTCGCAGCACTCCCGCACCACAACGGTAGTAACGTTCCAGTCTGGTACGCTGTACTGTCCAGCGTAGTATCGTGATTAGACGTTAATTGTTGCTACAACTACTACCGGTACATGTACCAAATCCTAAGAAGTGTGTTTGACAATTTTTTGACAGACCTGGTTCCCACGATAACGGCACCAACGCAACCAGCTCGACCATCATGATTCCCGTGACGACTAGCTAGCCAGATGCTTTTTCCCTGGCCATAAACCCGTGCAACCTATGTTTTTTCTCAAAGATTTCAGTGGCCTTTACGCACTCCATACTCGAAGGCACGCTCCATGTGGCGTGGACCTTTTACATGGACCCATGTTGAAGACGCCTCATCTTGTGCTATAGCGTGCCTCTGTAATAATTGTATATATCTCTTTTTCCTAGGAAGCCTCATGGATGCAGTTGCTCTAGGGGAATGGGGGTGGCTGTTGACGAATTCCTGCTCGCGAGGTTCCAGGTTGTCGATCTAATGATATTAATATAGAATTCTCAATACGGGCCTGACACTTACGGCGATCTTGCTGCACCTCTGATAGGCCTACTCACGCGGCAGCAAGTATATGATCTCTCTCAGTGCTCCTCTTCTCTCTCTCTCTCACAC